AGGGGGGGGGCCCGAACACGAATTCGGCTCGTTTTGGCTCGAAATACTACTAATCAATTATATATGTATATCTTTGATAGCACAGTTTTTTTTAAATTTAATTTACTACAAGGCTACAAAGATTTATAATTAATTAAAAGTATTAATGGCGAAAATATAATAAAAATTATTAAATTAGATTCAAATGATATTTTAAATCTTGCCCCAATCCTTAACATCTGATGACTACGTGATTATGATTGTCAAAATGACTATTTGTTCGTGAACGGCTCATGTTCGACTTACTAAGCAAACGAGCCGAACACAACACACTTTTTGAGCTCGAAATATAAACGAGCCTCGTTTACAACCCTAAATGCATATAACCTAAAAAAAAAAAAAATCGCATCTGTAGTTGTGAGTGTGTGCGTGGTGACTGTGGGTGTGTGTGATGTGGGGCTATGTGTGCTGTGGGTCTTGATGTAGGTTGTGCCGTGGGTTGTGGTTAGGTGCTGTGTTGTGGTTGTGAGTGTGTGTGTGGTGTGGGACTGTGTGTGCTGTGTGTGTTTTATATGTGTATAGCCTTACAAAGGGGGTGCCCTGAATTTAATTGCCTTAAATGAAAAATATGGGAAGTGGTTTTATCAGCCCCTTTGTTGTTTGAAGAGTGGGTTGTGCTGTGGTGTGGTTGTCTATATGCTGTGGGCTGTGGTTGGGTGCTGTGTTGTGGTTGTGGGTGTATATGTGATGCGGGGCTGTATGTGCTGCGGGTCTTGATGTGGGTTATGCTGTGGTATGATTGTCCGTGTGTGTTGTGGTTTGTGGTTGGGTGCTGTGTGTTATGGTTGTGAGTGTGTGTGGTGTGGGGCTGTATGTACTGCAGGTGCTTCATTGGTGTATAATAGTGTTGGGGTGCCCTGTATTTAATTGCCTCAAATAAAAAATATGGGATGAGGTTTATCAATTCCTTTGATGTTTGAGCGACAATTTGAAAAATTGATGTAAAAAGGTGCTTGATTTGTTCATAGCATTATTTTGGGTGGCATGTTTGCAATTGCCTCTATTCAATACTACACAATTTTTTTTTTAATGTTTGAGCTATAAATTGAAAAATGGATGAAAGAGGATGCTTCATATGTAGATAGCAACATTTCAGGTGACCTGTATGTAATTGCCTCGAATTAAAAATATGGGAAGGGGTTTTATCAGCCCCTTTGTTGTTTGAAGAATGGATGAAATAGGAGGGTGCTTTATTGAGGTGTGGGGCTGTGTGTACTGTGGGTGCTTCATTGGTGTATAACAGTGTTGGGGGTGCCTTGTATTTAATTGCCTCAAATGAAAATAGTGTTTTGCCATATCTTTGTTTATGAGATGGGGTTTTATCAATTCCTTTGATGTTTGAGCGACAATTTGAAAAATAGATGTAAAAGGGTGCTTGATTTGTTCATAGCATTCTTTCGGCTGGACTGTTTGCAGTTGCCTCTATTTGATACTACACAATTTTTTTTTGTTTGAGCTATGAATTGAAAAATGAATGAAAGAGGATGTTTCATACGTAGATAGCAATATTTCAGGTGACCTGTATGTAATTGCCTCAAATTAAAAATATGAGAAGGGGTTTTATCAGTCCCTTTGTTGTTTGAAGATGGATGAAATAGGAGGGTGCTTTATTGAGCTGTGGGTTATGGTTGGGTGTGGTGTGGGGCTGTGTGTACTGCGGGTTTTGTTGTGGTTGTGGGTTTGCGTGTGGTGCCTGTGAGTGTGTGTGGCGTGGGACTGTGTGTGCTGTGGGTCTTGTTGTGGGTTCTGGTGTTGTGTGCTTTTCTGTATGTGCTGTGGGTTGTGGCTGGGTTTTGTGTGTTGTGGTTGTGTGTGCGTGGTGTGTGGCTGTGGCTGTGTGTGCTGTGGGTGTTTCATTGATATATAAAAGTTTTTGGGCTGCCTTGTATTTAATTGGCTCAAATGAAAAATATGGGAACGGGTTTTATCAGTCTATGTGTGTTGTGGGTTTTGGTGTGGTGTGGTTGTCTCTGTGTGTCATGTGTTGTGATTATCTAGTCGTGGTGGCTAACTATTGTGTTGTGGTTGCTGTCAAATAGTAATGTTTTTTTTTCCTGTGCTAGCAAAGCAATTTTTAAGTCTAATGAAGTCAGCTCTTCAACAATTCAAGATAAGGAAATTAAACTCATATTTTACGACATCTGTCTTAAGGAGGTTGAGCTGAGAAATAGACGTACCACTTATTTTAACAAGAAATGGTGATAAAATATTATGCAGAAGTTCAAAGAAATGACAGGACGAGAGTACGATAGGTTGCAACTTAAGAAAAAGTAGGATCAACTGAAGAATGACTGAAAATTAAGGAATGAATTAAAACCGGGATCTACGGGCTTGGGTTGGGATCCAACAAGTGCACTTTTGATGCTTCAGATGAATGGTTGTCCAATAAATTGAAGATAACGACTTTTCCATTGATGACTTGTTTTTCATTATTTTATCCTCCTAAATTGTTTGAAGTAATAAACTTGCCCGTATCTTGCAGGCAGTGCTAGCCGCCAATAAATTCAAATTCAGTAGAATTGACTTTGTTCTCGAAGAGAAGTTGAACTGTATGTCTGGTGGGGTTGTGGCAACGGGAAGTCATGCCTAGACCCCTAGTTAGCTAGGGTTTGGAGGCAGGTTAGAGGATTTGGATGCCGAGCAGGTAAATGACTCTAGTGGAGGCCCCAGCCCAAGCCAAAAGATGAACCGGTGTCCACATGCAGATCAAAGCGTTCTAGGGTTAAGAAAAAGAAAAATGAGCTGCTTTCATCAGAAGCCAAATATCAAAACTGGCGCCTTCATGCACCAGTGAGCCTGGGCCCTAAAATGCGAACTCGGTAGACGACTTTGTCCGAGTTTGGGAGACAACTCTCGAAATATATGAGGACATGTCATTATATCTGAACTCCTTGAAGTTGCTGGAGGACCCCACCTTTAGATAGATCTTCATGTAGATAGCCCTCGACTGCAGAGTCAATTATTTGCGTTTCTTTTTTTTGTCAGCAAGGACATTTGATTTTATGCAGTTATTATTGTACTACTTTGGTTTATTTTCATATAGATTTATCGAATTTCTAATTTGGCTATTGTTTTTTTTTTTTCGTGAGGGTAAACTATTTGTTAATCTATATTTATTTCTTCTTATTGTACTCTGTGATTTTATTTGATATTTTTTAACGTGGTGAGATTGATATGTATTACCTGTACAGAGCAGTTCTTTTGCATGGATACACAAAGAGAGGGATGTAGAAGGAAAATTCCGACAACAAATTGTATGTTATATGAGTACTACAAATCATACATTGATCGAACTTTTTGCATGACTTCTATTTACATTGACAATAAATGTGTTGGGGAGCTACTACAAGGACACTATACAAGATCCAACAACTTGTTTCGTATGACACAACATATATTTATGGATCTGCTTGATGAACTATATATGAACCATGAACTTCGTGGGTTCTCGAGAATGACAATCAGATAGGTGATAACAATAACCCTTTATATTATATCACAAAATGAATCAATGAGAGGAGCGATGAAACAATTTCAACATTCATCTGAGACAATCAACAAATATTTCATAGTGGGGTTGAAGACTCTTGTTAGTTTCTCAGAACAGATTATTAAGCCAGAGGAACCAACATTCAAGAGAACTCCAACAAAGATTCTAAATAACCCGCATTACATGTCATTCTTTAACATATATCTTTTGTACTAAGTATATTCAGAAGTGAAATTGATTAGCGTGGTTATCATATCTTTTTTTTAAATTTTCAGAATTACATTTGAGCGATCGATGAAATACATGTGGACGCACGTGTGTCCAATAATGAGAAAATCACATACATTGGACGATGTCGATCACCGACACAGAATGTGATGACCGTATGTGATTTCAACATGTGTTTTATTTTTGTAATGACTGGTTGAGAAAATAGTGCCCACGACAGTCATATTTTTGCATTTGCAACTAGAAATAGAAAGCACAACTTCCCCCAACCGCCTTCAGATTTGCTCAGATATGAATCATATTCATATTTTCTTAAGTTCATCACTAATTGTTTTGTGGGATAGATAAATATTATTTGTTCAATATTGGATATTCTTTACAAATGGGGTATATGAAACTATATTCAGATACGAAATATTACATCCCCGATTTTGAAAGATCCAATGGTGTTGTTCGGGGCGGGAAGAAAATGTTTAACAAAAGACACTCTCCTTATGCGGCGTAATTAAAAGAGTATTCGGAGTGTGGAATAAAAAATGAGTCATATTACGCGACATGCTGGCGTATCTATTTCTGAAACAGACGCAAATTGTAGTAGATATAATGACTTTCTACAATTATATTCTACGAAATCATTCTCGAGCTGATGTAGACTTCAACATGGCTGACGGTGACCATTTACAGGTCCCGTCAGAAACTTTGGAATGTCACGTAGGAGAATCTATACCACAACCAGAAGTAAAATCATATAAAAGTTACACCTAAGATGACGAATGTGCTGCAAAAATGGTTGAATTGAGAGAGCGTATTACAGATGCCATTGTTGGATGTTGATTGTACAACTCTTGTTTATTTAATAAAATCCATGTTTATTTTATGTTATTTGTATTATTGATATTTTTTATTTTATATTTTTTACGGTGTTTGTTATTATTTTTTTTGGGTTTGTGAGGTCCATGATGAGACATTTGATTTTATGGGTTATTCTAGATGGCCTGTTGGTCGCTATATGATTATCACATGCGAAATCCTGATTTTATGGGTTATTCTAGATGGCCTATTGGTCGCTATATGATTATCACATGCGAAATCCTGATGAGGGCATTTTATTTGATGCAACAGTTTTTGAGGTACTTCTAGATGACTCCTTTTGGTGATATGCATATGTGACACATACGAGCTTGATATTTTGTGAGTGAAAGATAACTAAAAACCCATGTTTTATAAGGTCCATTAACTTCTTGTAATGACATATTCGTTGGTTGATGTATTTAATTCTCTGAGACCTCGTGTTCACACAAATCTGTGATCGATTACTGTTTTTATTAATTTATACTTCTGTAATGACTAATGAGTTGTCTTTTGAAGCATTCAAGAAAGTTGAGCTCTAAGATTTCAGGGATTTCCCGACGATTGCTATGTTATTGCAGACTTCAAACTTCATTTGCTAACGTCAGGTTTGTCACATAGCTACGGGAAACAATTCTACAGGTGCCTGCGGCGAATCACAGAGAACTGTGACTTCTTCCGGTGGGCAGATATACTCGAAGAATCAACCACTGAGAGTGACCAGGGGTGCAGACTATCCACGGAGGACGACATAGTCGCTGATATACGCAGTTTCCACTTTAAAACTAGTATTATCATATTATTAAATACTATTTTAATAGTTTTTTTTATTATAATAATCATGTTACTCACTGTTAAGTGAGATATATATCTTATTTTTTATACAGTTCTTAAGTGGATTTTTCTTTATAAGTATTAAATATATTGACATGATAGTTCTATGTCAAACAACATTGCTGTATAGATGCATAATGATCATTTACCTAGAAGCAGTTGCAAAACAACTGTTTTTCAACAACAGAAACCAAAAAGTTAATCAACTTATTCAGATCAGCTGCGCCGCAACAACTTTTTTACTGCAGCTGCCTCAAACAGACTATAAATTTGGGATTTAAATTTGTCATTTGACATAAACAAATGCAAAACAAATGTTTTCTAATAATAAATTAAACAATTAATCAGCTTATCCAAATAGGATGCGCCGCAACAGCTTTTCTATGGTAGCTGCTTATTAATAAGCTGCAGCTGACCCAAAATTTGGGATTTAAACTTGCCATTTCACATAATTTTAATCAGATCCTGCTTAAATTTTGCCTTAAAGCTGTCACGCAATGCCCTAAATTTTATGAGCAAATGGAGGGCATTTACATGCCTTTAGAATATAACTCAATTATTATTTATGCAGTTGCTTTTTAAAGATGATTGAAAACAAACCAAACATATCCTTTATGAGCAAATGGAGGGCATTTACATGCCTTCAGAATATAACTCAATTATTATTTATGCAGTTGTTTTTTAAAGATGATTGAAAACAAACCAAACATATCCACTTTGTTGACATCTATATGCTAGACTATTTGATGGGTAAAGCCAATGATGACAAAAGAAAAAAAAAAGATTTTAATCATTTTTTATCATTCTCGATGATATAATATTGTTTTGGTAACATAAAGTTGAACCAAACTCATTGGGATTGATATTTATATATTTATGTTAGTAGAATAAACTCTTATACTAATGGCACTGCAAGTCACCATTGTTTAAAAATTCACCCAATTTGTTGTTACACTTGTAGGCTGCTTCTGTAGTTGCAACGGCTACTATGACTCCATTGACCACCGAGGTTTCTCCTAATAGGCTGCTTGAGCTTGTTGCCAAGGTTTTAGTTCTTCATTCTTCCAGTTGTTTTTAATTTCCTTCAAACTTACTTTGAGTTAATGGTCTTGGATTCTAAGATTTCAACAGGGCATTGCAACAGAGAGAGATGAGGGATTAAAAGGACCTTTTTCTACTGCACCTCTTGATGCATCCACAAGTTTATCTTCAGTGCCAGTTATGGCCAGTGGTATTGATTTCAGGTGATTGGCATGTAATGGTCTATTTCCATTATGTTTCACGATTTTGTGATTGTTTTGTTTTGAAGAACATGCCACTTACGGTTCATCAGTTTACAAGCATGTATCTATATTAGGATGCATATGCATATGATTTAAAACTATATGGTAAGTATAAAGATATCGATATGCATTTTGGTTGATGCAGATACTTGTTTAACATGATTAAAATTTATAGAGCACTTAGGAATGATGTATTCGGGAGCTCATTATCATATACATTAATGATTCTTGTGTTGCAATTTAAAATAAACAAACCACTTAAAGTGTCGTGGAAAATTTTTTTTGCTGTTGTTAATGGCGAGCTATGCTCTTGCCATAGTGTCCTAAAGAGACACGGTGAGACCATAATGCATTTTGCACCTTGGGTAGTCCCTTCCCTTGTACTAATGAGAGAGACTAGTGATAGTATTCAAAAGTTGAAGATGAAATTTTAATGATGAAAATTTGATATAAAGATGCAGAAAGATCATGTAGAGTTAGAGTAACAATGATAATAACGATGAAAGATGGAACAAATTAGCTTTATGCTTTCTTCATGTTGCACTTTGTTAGTATGATTGAGTTATTAAATGTCTTTTGGATTTTTAAGATTATTCATTCTGCAATACTTTGAAACTTCAAATATAAAAAGTCTTGAAAATTATGGTTTAATCAAACACAACTACTATTTCTTTTTAGTGCTTAAGTTTGCTTAGGTAAGTGCTTAGGGTGCCCGGTGCCATAGGTGCTGTGTGGGCATATGTTTTGGAAATCATTAAGATTTTCATCTACATGAATACGTGTTTTTTTGTCTCCTCTATAACAATTAGTCTTTTTTTAGCTTATGTATTTTGAAAACAAGTTTGTTTTAAGTTTCTAATATAGGAAAATCAGTGCCATGCAGGATGTGAAAGGCTCATCTAAGAATTTCCCAAAACACGAGACCAAGCATATTTCTGAGCATAAGGTATGTTTCATCAATTCATTGTACATGTGTTGATGAACGAGATAGTATCATTAAAGCTTACAATGGTATCAATGTTATTGTAAATTATTAATCCAGTATAATGTGAAAAGATGGATGCAATGTGATGAGAAGATTAAGAAAATTGTTCTCTTTATCCTGTTTTAACTTATTTTCTATTTGAAGTTGACATATAATGTCAGAGGAATTTACATACATACGACACAATTCTTATATATTTACATATCTAATGCTAAAAGGTTACATAAAAAATACTATCATCACTATCTTTTTAAAAGTAAAATACACTTTTTTCATGCATTGGTTTATGACATCAAGGTATTATAAGTGTAAATGTCAAAAATTTGGCGTTAGGTATGTAAATACACAACAATTGTGTGGGGCATGTATGGAAACTCCCCTAAAATATTATGTAGTTTTAGGTTTTTTGATGGAAGGTTAATTTTATGTGTGTTTAGCATGCATATTGTTAGAGGTGCTAAATCTATATGGGTCCACACTCTATAACCAAAAAAATGCTTTCTCCATTACCCACATGTCTCTACCATTATAGGCTGGTAAGTTGTAGTTACGTGAAATTCTCTCATTTCTTTGAGTTAAATTCTTCTTTTTTATTGTTCATTTTTGATATTTTGAGAGCAATGATAACTAAGTGTACACCATAGAGGGCTCTCTTTGTTAGATGCATCTTTTATAAGAGTACTTATTTTAATAGCATTTACATCATTGCATGCTAATTTCTTTGATGCTTGCATGTTTCTTTTTTGGAGGATTTACATGCATGCCACTCAATTCTTATGTATTTTGCAAAAAACGGGTAAAAAATTTTATTTTTTGCTCTCTCAATGCATTTCATCTTTTAACATATATATAATAATGAAATGAAATAAAATAGGAATCTTACCGAATAGAAAAAAATAGAAAAATAGGAAATATCTAGTAAAAGGAAATATAATTAGTAAAATATACGATGATGCAACAACTATAAAACAACAACAAAAATCCTTTTTCCCACTACGTGGGTTCGGCTACATGAATTCTTTTTCTCCATTGTGTCCTTTTGAGAGTCAAATTTTCATTTAATTCTAATAAATTAAGATCATTTTTTATATAACATGCCCAAGTCTTTTTAGGTCTACCTTTGCTTATCTTAATATAAGTCGAATATTAAACATCTACTCTCTTAACCAAATCATCAGATGATCTATGTTTGTTGTGACTAAATCATCTACGACGACTCTTTGTAATCTTGGCAACACCAACTTTTTCACGAATACATTCATTTCACATTTTGTCTCTAAGAGTCGACCCACTCATCCACCTAAGCATTCTCATCTCAACAACACTTTAACTTAGTTTCATGCTTCTCTATTATAGGCCATCATTCTGTACTATAAAGCATTGCAGGCCGCACAACCATCTTATAAAATTTTTGTTTAAGTGTATGCGGTACTTTTCTATCACACCATAGGCCTGATGCATTCCTCCATTTCAACCATCCAACTTGAATTCTACTAATAACATCCCCATCTATATCACCATCACTTTGAACAATGGACCTGAGATATCTAAAATGTCCACTCCTTTTAATGATTTTATCACACATTGTTACAACTCTGCCCCTGTACTATGTTGGAAGGAAATCAATTCCTTGATAATAAAGTCTTCGAATTTAGTACTTCCAACACTCTTATTCGAGTTGGGTTGTTTTTATTGTACAAATTAAACTTGGACTTCAATTCATCATGACTGTCCTTGGTAGTGCTTTAGTGTGAATATCAACAATCTGAAGTTGTGTAGGAATATAGCTTAGCTGAAGAACTTCATTGTTATTGTTCTCTGGGATGAAATGTCAGTCAATCTTGATGTTTTTGTTCTATCATAATTAACATAATTTTTGGTTATATTAATAGCTGCTTGACTATCACTGAACATCTTAATTGTATATTTCTTCTTACCCTCAAGTTTCTTTAATAATCTTTAAATCCACATTCTCTTAGATAATCCTAGTGAAGAGCACAATATTCATATTCTACACCACTTCTAGAGAAAACAATTTACTTTTTGCTTATCCACGTTGCAATATTGCCTCAAACATAAATATTGGTTGATATCCTATCTGTCACATTTCCTGCTCAACTAACATCTGTGTATACATCAATCTCACAGTTTCTAAATTTTTTAAAGAACAAATCATATCCAGGATCCATCTTCAAGTATCTCAAGATTTTGTTCACTACTTCTAAATAATGCTCATTTGGATTATTTACGTGTTGACTTGCTACATTGAATGAGTATGCAATATCATGTATTGTGAATGATAGGTAGAGTAGTTTGTCAAATAATTTTTGATACCTTCCTTTGTCAATCATACTGCTTTCTTCACTTCTATTCAGACATTTATTGGAATCCATGGGTGTGTTAGCGGGCCTATACCCAAGCATGTCTGTTTCACTTAATAGGTTTAAGATTTACTTTATTTGGGATATCAAAATTCTCTTATTAAATCGAGCCACCTCCATTTCTAGAATTTATCAAAGATTCCTGAGATCTTTGATCTAAAATTCTATTGCAAAAATTGATAATTTTATTTGAATCATCAACTGTCATGATAATATCATTCACATATACTATGAGAATAACAATTTTGTCTCCATGATTGGATTTATAAAATAGAGTATGATAAACTTAACACTGATAATATCTGTTTATAATCATTGTTTTAGTAAAACTGTCAAACTAAGTACAAGGAGATTGCTTGAAGCCATATAAGGATTTTTTCAACTTGCAAACCAACCTGTTGATCTTTCTATTTTTTAAGCCTGGAGGTATAGTCATTTAGACTTGTTTATATAAGTCACCATTCAAGAATGTATTTTTGACATTAAGTCGGTATAAATTTTACTTAATTTACTACAAGAGATAGTAGAACCTGAACCATATTAAGTTTGGCAATAAGTTCAAAGGTTTCCTGATAGTTAATCCCATATGACTGCGTCTTTGAATCTCTACACCTTTATCTCTTTTGTATTTGGCCATGTAAGTGTTCATATTTTATTCCTCTGAATTTCTTCATCAACTGCATGTTTCCATGTTGGAACTTTTAGAGGCTTTTTGGATAGAGTTGAGATCCTACACATTATTAAGATTTGGCATAAAAGTCTTGTAAGATGGTAGCAATTGCCTATAAGCTACTTATCTTTCGATTGGATGACCAGTACACCCTCATATACATTTTCTTTGTGCAATTGATTGATCAATTATCGATGTAATAGAGTCATAAGTTGAGGAATCCTTGCCATTATGGTTATCAGATGTAGGAGGATTCGTTTATGGCTTTTGACAGTCTTGGCTATGCATAATATCCTCTACATGCTCAATAGTCATTCTTCTAGTGTAGATACGAAACTCCTTATTTTAGTGTCATGTTGAAGTGTAGTTGAGATAATTGGAACTGTTTCTGTGATAGAGTTTGATTCTTCAAGTGCATTTGGTTGAGTGATAGGATTTGGTTTAGTTGAAGGACAAATAGTCCGAGTATCTTGGAAAAAAATCTCAAATATGGTATTCCATCAAATTATCTCTCCGAATTTCAAATTTAGGAAAATAAGATTGATTCTCAAAGAATGTGACATCTATATAATTGTATATTTTTCTTGTGGTTAGAAAGAAGCATGTGTACCCTTTTTTATTAGAGTAACCGAGGAAGATACATCTAAAAGATTCAGGATCAAATTTGGTGCGGTGTTATTGGTGTATGTAAACAAAGCCAGAATAATAAAAAATCTTTAATGGTATGTAAGAAGAAAGAGAATATATGTGTGGATAGGATTCTATGAGAATATTATGTGGAATTTGAAATTTTAAGCCTCGATTAAATATCCTATTGAAGAGACATGTGGCTTTGAAAATGGCTTTCCCCCAAAAATATTTAGGCACATGATTAAAGAACATAATGACATGTGTCACCTCAAGTAAGTGTCAGTTTTTTCTTCTGGTGATTTCATTTGATCGAGTATCTACATAAGAACTTATATGAATACTATCATGTTTGGAAAGATAAAAACTAAAAATGAAATTAAAATATTCATTAGCATTGCCAGTTTTAATAATTTGAATTTTGCTTTGGAATTGAGTGAACATCATTGAATGAATGATTAAAATATGGTGATTGTTTCAAAATGTTCTTTCATAAGGATTGTCATGTTGTTCTTGTGATCAACCATAAATGATACAATCGTCATGCCCCCATTTGTACTTTTTTACATGTGAGGGTCTCCAGATAAAATTGTGAATTATAAAAAAAAGATGTGAAGGCTTGTACTGCAATTTAGAGTATATATGTCTAGTATATCTTGAAGTTAGTTTGTTTTGCATTGATAAAGATTGGGCTTTTTAATGATAAATAAACGTGGAAACATATAATTCATGAAATTTGGATGAACAAGATCGTAATGATTCAAAATGACTTGACTTTCAACTGAAATTACATTGACAGGATTTGAACTAGACTTAGAAATATAACACAACGAATGTTCTTGCTTATCAATAAAGTTATTTTTGTTGAGCAAATATAAATCACCATATATCACAGCACTATCAATCACATTCCTCAAATCCATCGCCTGAAAAGCACAATATTTGGAAAAAAATTTAGTCACTCATTTTATATCACGAGTAAATTTGTTGATTAAGAGTAGGTTGTAGTTTAATTTTGGAACATAAAAAGCTAATGAGAGATTAAGATCCTTTATTAATTCAGTTGATCCAATTCCTTCTACTGGCGAGAATGAACCATCAACTATTCAAATTGCAGAGTGACTGATACATGCTGTAATTGTTGAAGATGTTGATATCTTTCGTCATATAATTTGAGACTTTAGAGTCAACTATTCAATATTTTAATTTATTACTTCGGGCACAAAATATGAAATAATATACATTGGTATGCTAACAGACTGATATGTTGTTTGGCAAAGAATTGTGATGCTTGTCTGTAACTAGAACTAAATATTCTCTACACTACCTCAATTTGCTTCCTAGTGAAAGGGTTGATTCTAAATTATTGTTGGTAGTGATAACAACATTTGCACCATGACATGACCATGTGGTTTTCAATTTCCAAGTATGATATTTAGAATTTTTCACTCATCGAGCAGAGATTTCTCACTTATCGAGCAAAGATTTCTCCTGAAATATGTTAATCTTTCCCTTTACCGAAAACAAACTGTGACCATTGAAGAATATTGTGGCCTTGCAGTTTATGGTTGGTGACTAGATGAGAAAAGTTATCAGGTGCGCTAGGGACTGAACATGTAGTTTTGAACCTCAAGATAAATTTCAAGGAAGAAGATTGTGCGACCATTCCGCGTTTGATCATGATAATATTGTAAAGCCCAAATTTAAAAGACTTGATGTTGGACAAAAGAGAGAGGTCCCTTGGTTTGACTGCTTGGCTGGATGAGCGAACATGAAATAGAGGGAGGTGCACAACATTTGGTTTTGACGAGTTTGGCACTCTGTGACTCGGCGGGAGGCGGTCAGGTCAGCGACTTGTGAGATGTCAGCTAGGGCAAGCCGAATCGTTTGTCGCTTTAGAGAACTAAATAGGAAGAATCTTCGATTTCAATCGACCCCTCTTGGATCCAAGAAGAAAGAAGAGAGGAAGATTTGCGGTCCAAAGAGATCGCTATCGCGAGAGGCAACAGGCCTAGAAGGAAGAAACAAATGGAATAAATCAAACGCTATGTGAAAGTCAAACTGAAAGTTCAAACAGAGGCTTCAATCTATTGAACGAAGCGTTTGAACGGTTCTGCGATCCATTCGAATGAAAGAGACAAGTGAGCCGATCCTATTGAACGGAAGAAACAAACGAGGGCTTCATTCGGATGGAAAAGATAACAGGGTTGTAGCTAGTGTGTCCAAGGGAGACAAAGCAATTGATGGAAGTTGTTTGTGCGTATGAGTAAAACAGAGCAGCTTACGAAGAAGAGAGACACTGCCGTTCGATCAAATTAGGTTCGTGGCTCTGATATCAGGCAAAAATCATATAAAAGGTTTTTATTTCTTTCTTTTTCAATGCATTACACCTTACAACATATATATAATAATGTAAGGAAACAAAATAGGAGTCTCACCAAGTAGTAAAAATAGAAAAGTAGGAAATATTTAATAAAGGGAACATAATTAGTGAAATTCATTTTGATGGAAAGAATAAATTCCCTCCTAAACAAGTCTGCGAATTGACAGGTTCTAACAGATTTACATATCTAGTACCTAAACTTTACTTGTTTTCATATACTTATGCATGAAAGGTGTATTTCACTTTTTTCTTTAGTTAAAAATAGTTTTTTTGAAGTGATATGACAGATTCGAATGTTATAAATTTAAAAAATAAATTTTAGGTGTATACATGTAAATCATGAGAAATGGGTTGTATGTATGCAATTGCCCCCTATTTTTTTCCCCTTGAAAAGGCTTCATCAACATCTTAAATTGTAGAAATGAAAGTTCAATTTATCTGGAAATTTTTAAGATCCTTTTGTTCTTAGTAAGGAACATTTTCAAAACATTTCAAATATGTTGGACATTTTTGTTCTTAGAAAATTTGAAAAGGCAACACGAGGATATTCACATTCCTTTCTTGATCTTAAATGGCCTAAGGCGCATGTGACAGTATGGCTAAGATTGAAATTGCGGGCATTAAGAAAAAAAGTTTTGCGCCATAGGCATGTTATTATTGACATGTATGATGGAGTGGTCACCAATGACATATATCCCTCTACCCAGGCTTTGGGGAATATTTTTCCTCAAGTACCCAAGATTTCGTGAAAAATTAAACAGTTTGAATCTTTTATTTTGTTTTTTTTTTGGATATATCTTCTGAAACTATAACAGATTATTGGATTTTGTTTTAAAAATTTCTTTTGAGCTTAGTCATGAAGCTGAGATTGTCTGCACTGAACTCAGAATTGAGGAGTCTGCAATATTTCCTTTTCCTCGTAGAATATTGCAAGGTGTGCAAGATTTAGTCCTGATGGGCAGTATGTTGCCACTGGGAGTTCGGACTATTCAATTAAGCTTTTTGAGGTTAGCCATTATTTCAGTATTCTCCACTATTGACAATAAACCAACATCTTAATTTTTAGGAAGATTTACATACATACTACTAAATTCTTATGTATTTACATATATAAGACCTAAACTTCACTTTTTACATATATGCCACCTTTACCTATGCATGAAAATGTATATTCACTTTTAAGTAAAAAAAAAAAAAAAGAGTCTTTTTGATGTGTGATATGAAAGATTTGGTGGTATAAATTTAAAATGTAAAGTTTAGGTGCAATATATATAAATACATTGGAATCCAGTTGTATATATGTAAATGCCCCTAATTATTTTGCATTTTGCAGGTTTCCAAAATTAAGCAAATAATGGGATTTGATGCTCGAGATGGACCAATTCGTCCTGTTATTCGGACATTTTATGACCATGCAGAGGTTTCAATCATTTATAAGTTTATTTAAAGTAGACTAAAAGAAAAATTTTCTCTTATTGCTTTTAGTGGAATGTTAATTTTTTGGCAGTGGCAGCTTATTGGAAAATACATGTTTGTACTTTAGTCCAAAGAACAATTTAACTGTTTGATGTGATATGAACTACTTTCTTTGATGGAAACTGGAAGATTAATAATACTTGTCTGAAACACAAAATATGGGTGTTAAGGAGAGCACGCTGCTGTTTTTTTTTTTTGATATTATTGTAATGTTTTATTAGTTCTCTATTTTTCTAGTTTATTTGGTTGTATTATTCCTATTATGAGTATTTTGAGAATCACTGTCCTTTAATGTTTTGATTGTCTTTATCAGTTTGATTTAGTTTTTGTAGGGCACTCTGTCTACCTATTTCTATATCCCTTTCTGAGCCAATGCCCGGTTCTCTGCTTTTTGCAACCGTCTATCATTCTCAGGATTATTCGTTGTGCAGTTTATTTGGGTTGGTATTTGCTGTTAGCTGCTGATTAATTCTCTCTAGGGAAATATACATATGTAGCTCACAATTCTTTTGTATTTACATCACACCTAATTTTTCATATTCACCTTGTATAGCAAGCTACATCAACAGCTGGCGCTTTGAGGCTTAGCTCCACCCAATTTTTTTGGAGAGAGAGGCGAGGAGTAGGTAGTGGAACTAATTGAGGTTGATTGGTGCAGGGACTCTTTTTAGGGCCATTTCCTGTGAGTGAATGGAGATAGATGATAGTGATCATGGTCAATATTATATGGTAGGCCGGTAAAATGTTGAAAGGGGTAATAAGGACATCTTGCATGACTGGTAAGTGGAAAATGACGTAGGGGCCAAGGGCATTCCAACAATACAAGCTTGAGATGCTAGTGCTCGAGAAAAAATTGTAATTGAATTGGGTTAAGAATTTCCTAGGAAAGGTCAATTTTGTGAAATCTTTCTTAGGAGTTGGAACATAGTGATTAAGATATTTGATAGTTGGTTATAGCTATATCTATTGTTGCCCTCTAAATGTGGAGGTGGCAGGAGTGGGAGGTGGTCTGTTTGCAATGAATTGTCTTTCATTAAGTTTTCATGCCAACTTAATTATATTAATGAGCGCCAAAAAGAAAATTTTCCAGGCTAATCAAAAGTTGCACTATGGAGGGTTTCCGACTGGTTTATAATTTGAGAGGACACTTGCAGGGGAAGGGTCGAGTTGTTGAGCAAATTTCTTCAGAAGAGACGTTTGAGAAGAAAAGAGAGACTGATACGGATGAAAAGAAGCAGATGAAAGAAAAATAAAATGCAACAATGCATGTGGAATTTGTAGTTAAGTCAGTTTTGTCCACTTGTTTGCAGAAGCTTCACTATAAATGAAAGGATTACCGATCTCTTTTGTTATGAAGAAAGATATCAATGTTATGGTTGTTAAGATTAGTCCTTGTTTTTCCTTGAAGGTACAAGAGAAGGGTGCATATAAGTGATGAGCCAATAGGAGAAGATCCCTTTTATGACCATGATGTGTGGATGCATGCTGATCTATTTTGGTAGGAGCAGAAGTAGTGTGACACATGTCGGTTGGAAAGGAGGTTGATTCCATGTGGAAAACATCATATTGGTTTATTTCTATGTGATTATTCTGGAAATGGACGGGGATTCATAGCAAAGTGTAGTTGTGCGGGCTAAAGGAATAATGTAATTGTTGTTGTTAGGCAATACTAATAGTGTCTACATGGTAGTTTAAGATTGCTTGAGGCAAGCAACAACATATTTTCTTATGTTAGGACAACAAATAAATCTTTCATTTGATATGAGGAGCAATCTAGATGAAGGATCCGATTAGTTGGGCATTTCAATTAGAGGTATTGAGGGATTATCGATCATTTTGGCCTGACTGGATCTAGTTTGGTTTTGGCCAACTAATATCTTTGCAACACTCATTATTTGGGGCTCACTAATTGGTGGAGTTTTTGAGCTATTTTGACTAGCTGATTTCACTTTCTTCGAGCCTTGACATATGGACGATTAGTTGAATCATGAAAATAGGCACAATACATTGGCCAATTTGATTTATTTTCAAATTCACAGTATGCTTCATGGGATTTATTTACTTTCTTTGTGAATCATAAAGGTACTAATTTCTTTGCTCACGTAGCTGTTATCATATGCTATATCTATTCCCACAAAGAGGCAATGTGAATGTAATTCCAACAATTGATTGTGTTCAAGATAACATAGTGTAGTATTTGATTTGGTTAGTTGCCATTCATTGATCCATGGAATGTGTAAATTACGTAAACTCTCCTTTATTGATAACAATTTTTGTCAAGTTAAGGAAAAGTAGTGGTGAAGATTTTGTTGGGTTTATTAAATCTGATTGGCTTTTTTTACTTGTGATAGTAACACCGACTCGGTTATGAAGAAGATTGCCATACTGTTCATCGTTAGGAGTCCTAGCTTTTAAAATTTTTTTTGGAATAGACATGCAAAAAATTTTAGAACCTAATAATTTGTAAGAATTTTAGCTCTACATAAACTCTACAATAAATTGTGAGTTGTGACGTTAGTTTTTGAAATGTTAAATGAGAGTATTTTATTTTTGGACATTATATTGAAGTAGTAAAGTAGGTTCCCAACTTTATCGTTGTCAGGGATTGTACTATTTGTTGATTTATTGCTCGGCAATTCTTAGTTTAAAAATTTGAGGTACCGAACTGACGGCATGTTGCTTTCTTAGTTTTATGAATCTGCATAACCATGTAAATGTTGCTTGTCTTGTAAAATGTGTTATATATAATTATATCTAGTTATTAAGCATCGCGGACTTTCTAATTTTTTCTTCTAGAAGTTTTTTTTTGGTTATTTATCTTATATGATTTGTTCTATTATCAATATTTTAACATTGATTTGTTGAGAGACCATGTTGGCTGTTGGGTGGTCTAATGCTGCTAATAACGCATCGGTTTTGTGGAGACGCCGGTGCATCCTCTTTGAAAAAATATATTTTCATTCAGAATGCACAAATAGACATTTTCTTTAGTTTTTTTTGCAAGAAAAATGATACCAGAGTCCATGTTGTCCATTTGTGGGACCACATTGTCCATTATTTATTGTGTTGCTAATAAAATATTAGTTTAAAGTAAACATTGATGCATGTTCGTAGCACATTTTTATTTTCAATAAAAAATGCCTAAATGCACATGCTTGCTTTGAAATTTTCAGCAAGGAAAATGGAACACTTTTTAGGGGCTTTGAATTTGGCATTTTTAAAAATAATATTATATGTGCATTTTGCAACTTTCATAAATATTAACTAAAACTATATTAGTTATCAATCAAATGAATTAAACAAAACTCGATAATGTCCATACAAATTCAGATGACATGATGTGCAAACTACTAAAAATTGCGACTATCATTTTTAAGAGCCATTTCACTCAAATATATTGGATTATACATAACATTAATAACTTACCTCAATTCTATAAATGGTGCTGCACAAGTCTAACTTATGGTGTACATGAGGGAACAAGCTATGGGGCGGGTTTATTAATATTAAACACAATGCAAATTGTTAACTTATCTTGATAAGCCTTTCAATCGTGCAACAAACACCTTACCTTATACAAGTGTTGAAATAATAGTGGCGAGGATAAATAAATCATGCTAAACGTGTGTTAATAATTTGACCATGATCAATGAATCTTACTTGAGCAAACTTAGCACAATATCAATTATAACAACCACAAATATTATAAGGACGAACAATATAAATAAATTGAAATTTAATTGAAAGTAAAGTAAAGCTCTAGATTTAAGTACACAAATGTTATTTGTGCGGTTCATCCTTCAATCTACCTACATATACTCATATATGATTCTTGTTAGTTAGAGAAAACCCACCGACATGCTGTTTTTACAGGAAAGTATTACACAGATCCCTAATCCTGAAGGGCTTGTACAACTCCTCTCTCTAATAAAGAAATCACCAGGTCAAAGTTCTTTCGTAATTTCGTGGAGACCATATCTTATCTCCAAAATACATATCTAAGCATAAGATTGAAATGCAAACAATGACTCACAAAACTTCCTATATATTATACGAAATTAGCAGCACAATGTTTTTTTAGCTTAGGATGATGAACACTTGAGAATGCTGCAATTTTTCTATCTAAAATCTACCTCACGTTGATTTTATATTGTGTTACTAAGGAGGTTTCTACATTAGCCTTTGAATGATCTTTTGGGGACTATTTGTAAGCCCCCAAAATTCCCTCAAGCTTCCCCGAAAGGGTAGGAGTAGTTATCAAAAGGAAATCAAATTTTAATAAAAAAAGAAGTAAATTTCGGATAGCTGTATGGTTCAATCGCAATCTAATATGATTAGTTCAAGTTCTGAAGATTTTATTGTGATACGATAGAACATTGTATCTTATGATCATAATACGCTGCAGTCCCCCCAAACTCATTAACGATGTCTATATGATGGTCACTTGAAGCTTAATAATACTATATGACTTACATCATATTATATGCTTATAGTACAACATATTCCACCTGAAGCTTGATCATATCATGTGATAGTCGGCCGGGATTTTTGGAAAATGGATTTGAATTTGAATTTAAGCGTATATAGATATCAATGTAATTTTGCTTTTAAAAAAATAATATTTTAATTTTAAAATAAATGTGATCAAACAGGTCTCAAATATTTGATAATTTGGACGGCTGAGCGCGATACCGTAAGTAATACACAATCCCGATGGATAAATATATCACTTGTAGTAGGCTCAACCACCCAAATCAAAGGATGGTGTGACATCTGTTTGGTCTGCGAAACCTTTTATATGAGACCGACAAGTTCCCTTACCTGATATAAGGATTATATAGGGTTTATTTTACCTGGATTTTAATTTCCCTATAGAGGTAAAACCCTATAGTTAATTACATTTATAAATAATTTGAGTCACTTAAGAAGTCTCTCGATTAAGTT